TGATTCTTATGGAACCAAGTTGTTCTGGATCTTCTCATGCAAGCACACAATTTGAAACTGACATCATAGACAAGACTAATATGATATCTTTTCAGATGATCGGCAACATGTTTATTAACCTCACAATTTTTATTTTCTACTTTAAGATGTTACCTTATATATATATATATATATATATATATATATATATATATATATATATATATATATATATATATATATATATATATATATATATATATATATATATATATATATATATATATATTGTAAATTTTAGAATCATTTATGCCCATGAACAAAAATGTTGCAATAGGCATAGAGGCTTTTTTTAAATAATAAATTATAAGTTTTAGGCATCAAATAGTATTTTTTTTAACATAATGGACTGTGAGTGATGGTTATCATTACTTGAAAACATTGATGATTCATGTATTTCTTAAATGGACATGAGAAAATACAATTCATGTTAATGTGTATGTACCACAATTGTATACATATTTTGCATTTTAAGACTTAAATTTATGTAAATTCCCTGATTTGCAACTGATAGTCTATAATGATGTCCAAAAAAAAAGCTCCAGCAAGCTTTTCTACAATCTAATTAGTCTTTTCATTTCAACATTGAACAGTGTTGTAACATGTAATACATGTAATGTTAAGCAATTACCAATGGAGACCACTCAGTTAATTAAAATTGTACTTTAAAAATTCAATATCAATAAATTTGAATCATAGAATTTAATTTGTATTGAGTCATGAATAATCATGAAACTTGTGTTGCTGTGTAATGTTGAAGATTTTCGAATTTCATGAAGGTTCATCATTGTTCATGAAGTATAAATTTTTTCAATATGAATGTGTTCATGAATTAAATTCATGAACTACTTTTATGAAGCTGTTATGAATCTTTTATGAGCATTCATGAACAATGATGAACAACTCATAAAAGTTCTTTAAATCATGAATATCATCTCGCAGGGTATTTAAACAAACTAAGTACATTGTTATGATAAGCAAGGATGCCTCTTCCAAAATTGTGAAATTCATGGCCCCGGGGACAGGAATTCTGGTGCTAGGGTGGGGCTATATAGATCCTATAGTGAAGGTGAATTATTTCTTTGAAAATCTTCTTCTCTGCCCCTGGGTATTGCTTAAACAGGCTAAAGTACATTGTTATGATACACAAGGATGCCTCTTCCAAAATTGTGAATTTTATGACCCCAGGTTTAAGGGTTCTGGTGGGGGGGGGGGGGGGGGGGGGCTTCTATTGATTATAAAGTGAAAAAGCAAAATATCTTTGAAAATATTCTTTTCTTCTTCTGGTTAAAAAAGCAAAGAAGCTAAGTGTATAGTTATGATGAGCAAGTGTGCTTCTTCCAGAGTAGTGAATTTCATGACCCCTGGGTCAGATGTGCTGGTGTGAGGGTGGGGCTCTTGATAATTTAGTGAAAATGCATTAATTCTATTAAATAATCCTGTTTGCTCCTTAGTGTTAAGCAGATAAACAAAGTGATGATGAGCAAACATATGGTCCCAGGGTCAGAAGCTCTGGTGTTTTGGGGGTGGGGGGTGGGGGGGTGGGCTCTATTGATAATATAGTGAATCTGTAGTAAAAATGCATTATTTATTTAAAAATCTTCTCCGCACCTGGGCATATCTGAGGCAAACAAAGTAAAAGTTTTTATAAGGAAGGGAATTTTTACCAGATTTTTGAACATCTGGACCATTTGATCAAGTGTTCTGGTCCTGGCCAGGGCTCTATTAGTTTGTATTCTACTGAGAGGAGTTATTCCCCTTTGCCATTAACTTTTGGTAATTTATCACTGTAAATAATGTACTTGAAAGGTAAATAGAATAAGAGAATTATGCAAAAACTTTTATTGTACAATACAAAAAGTACTTTCATAGTTTTAATGATCAGATAGACTTGTAAGTAGTAGATAAATAAAAATGAGACAAAAAAAACATGTCTTATTAAATATTCATCAAAGACCAAGAGATGCCAATGTAAGAGATTTTAATAAAGGATTAAAATAGTACAGAAGCATTGATAATTTGTTAATATACTGTATAGTGATAGTGATAAATGGGGAACAGATTAAAACCTAATTGATGAACTGTTAATGAATATTAAGACCAATTATTTTGTTGATCATGATCACCCTATTTTTTCTTGCTTTTGGGCAACAAAGCTTCACCTTTCAGTTCATTTCATACTCTATGCATCCTTGAAATTGTTTTATCATACTCAGGTGACCGTTAAGGCCCTTGGGCCTCTTGTTCTAGCAATAAAATCTTTTTTAACCATGTATTCATACCTATACCAGACAGCTCTGAAATGTTACTTTACAAACTATAATCTGTTATGCTTGAAGGAAATGCACTGACTTGCAATTTCCAGATTTTAAAATGAAATAATTTTTTTTCTAGATTGCATAAAATTGGGTAAGTTGAGTAACCATAAACAATTTTTTTTACTAGGCCTTAGTGTCCTATTCTGATTAATTGTATAAATTACCTATTTTTAGGATGATCAGTCCTCTGGACAAATAGAGGTCATTGGAGGAGATAATCTGAAAAACCTTAAGGGCAAGGTGAGTTGTCTTACAACAAACATTTAATTTATTACTTGATTAGGCATAATTGATCCAGAAGTCATAAATCTGAAAAACCTTAAGGGAAAGGTAACTAAAGTCATCTGACATGCAAACATTTAATTTATGACTGGATTAGTTTGTTTCTTTTGTTTAATGTCCCTTGTAGAATTTTTCAATTATATTGATATGCCACCACTTGTACTTAAGGCTTTTAGCAGTGAGAGATATATTTGATGTCAGTACCTGCTGCAACATAGGACCTCGGTTTAGATGGTATCATACGAAGGACCAGTCTCCACGTTCCGCAGTGGATTTGAACCTGTGATTTAAGGATCAACTCCTTACTCTGCAACACTAGAGCAAATGCTCTGACTACTGTGGCTTGCAGAGGCTACTGAATTAGTGTTATTGTTAAAATCAGGGGCTACTGAATTAGTGTAATTGTTAAAATCAGGGCTACTGAATTGGTGTTATTGTAAAAATCAGGGGCTACTGAATTGGTGTTATTGTTAAAATCAGGGACTACTGAATTAGTCTTATTGTTAAAATCAGGGACTACTGAATTTGTCTTATTGTTAAAATCAGGGGCAACTGAACTAGTGTTATTGTTAAAATGAAAAAAAAAAAATTACTTTTGAGTTAAAAATTATTTCAATTTATGAAATCCAAAGTGTGTCTCCTGTCCAGTAAACATTTAATTTAAAGCTTGGATTATTACAGTAAAACATGGTTATGTTGAACATGCTTGTAATGAATTTATACTTAAAGTCAAGTATTATGTGAACTTATTATGGACTTATTGGATACAAAAAATTACATTTGTTAAGAACCAAAATGATGTGTCCATTGCCCTACAATATAAATTTTTTTGACTGTAGAACTAATTTTGACTGACTGGAGTCATAAATTTGTAAGAATTGTTAAAAAGAAAAATCTTGGAAAGATTATTTCACTTCTAGAAATGACTAAATTAAAATTTAATGACAATTCATTGATTCAGGTTGAAGACTAACTGTTGATTAGATTAGCTATCCTTTAATTAAGGACTCATGCAATTATGGACTCTCTAGATGGTTAATTGGGTTTGATATTTACCAGAAAAATATCAATATTGACTGATGCTAAGCTGAGGTCAATTTTGTTGTTTTTTTTTTGAACATCAAACCATGGTAACCACCAAAACAGTCCGTACCTGTGTTATTTTGTAGTCCATTATGAAATAAATAAGACAACTGAAGCATGCATGATGACTCCATTTTTTTATTAATGAACTGTTTCTCTATAAATTAAGATAAAGAAAATGTCCAGATTACTAGTTATAACCTCTACGTTCTCCTCTTGTAATGTGTAAGATATTATTTCATGTCTAAATAATGAGACAGCAATCCTGCTCAGATGCACAACTGGCTTCAAATGTTGCAACTATTGTTTACAAGTAATTTAAAGTATCATTTGTAACATGATCATTGCCGTTGCACTTGCACTGACCCTATAAGAGAATACATCTTTAAACATGGTTGATAAGTAGTTTTATGAACATTTGCGTTTGTATAGAATATAAAGCTTTTATAGATAGACTATTTGATAGATAAAGTTCTAGAAATTTTGCCATTGTTTTCAGAATGTTTTGGTTGTGGAGGATATTATAGACACGGGGAAAACCATGCAGAAGTTACTGGCTCTGTTACAGAATGTCAAACCCAAGTGTATCAAAGTAGCCAGGTATGTAATGTAACAGAATATAAAACCCAAGTGTATAAAAGTAGCCAGGTATGTAATGTAACAGAATATAAAACCCAAGTGTATAAAAGTAGCCAGGTATATAATGTAACAGAATATAAAACCAAAGTATATCAAGGTAGTCAGGTAGGAAATGTAACAGAATATAAAACCAAAGTATATCAAGGTAGCCAGGTACATGTATGTAATGTAACAGAACGTCAAACCCAAGTGTATAAAAGTAGCCAGGTATGTAATGTAACAGAATATAAAACCCAAGTGTATAAAAGTAGCCAGGTATGTATTGTTACAAAATGTAAAAATAAATGTATGATATAAAAGTAGCTAGATATGTAATGTAAAAAACCTAAGTGTATAAAAGTAGCCAGGTAAGAAATGTAAAACCCAAGTGTATAAAAGTAGCCAGGTAAGAAATGTAAAACCCAAGTGTATAAAAGTAGCCAGGTATGTTATGTAAAACCCAAGTGAATAAAAGAAGCCATGTGTGAAATGTAAAACCCAAGTGTATCAAAGAAGCCATGTACATGTAAAAATTATGAAACCCAAGTGTATAAAAGAAGCCATGTAAGAAATATGAAACTCAAGTGTTTAAAAGAAGCCAGGTAAGAAATATGAAACCCAAGAGTATAGAAGTAGCCATGTAAGAAATATGAAACCAGAGTGTATAAAAGTAGCCAGGTATGAAATGTTACAAAATGTAAAACAGGGTTGACTTGAAAATAACATTTTAAACCTTATTTTAAATTATATTTTTCTATCGTAAAATTACAGAAAGTGTACTTTACCAACGTTGAAAGTTCATATCGTGAAATATTTTAACCCAAAGTAGCAGAAAAAAATCAGAAACTGTCTTCTATATTCTCATTTCAGGAGGAAAGTTATTGAATATTTAGCTGCTTATTGTGTATAATACATAGTGTATCAGTAGGATTTAATAAGATATGGACGAAAACCTGCTACTCTCGATACATAAAAGGAAAATGTAATTATAGATGTTGAAGGAATTTTCATACTTTTAAGGAATATGAAGATAACGAACAGTATTCAATCTTGAAAGTCCAATAAAACGATACAAATTTGGAGCAGAATAAACACAGACCTCAAAATTTAGAGGTGGGATCAGGTGCCCTGGAGGAGCGTATCATCCACATGGTTCTGGGTCTTCAAAATGTTTTGTAGGAAGAAAGCAGTGAAATGAGAGTGTATTTAATAGTAGAACCAAATCAAGATCTGGTTCTGGAAAAGGTCCGATAAAATGCTTACTCACCATATGGGCAATAACATCCTCAATAATCAGTTGCTCACAGGCTTACTCTGTTATGGAACATGAAACTAACATGATAGGTTATTATATAAAAAAAGACAACACATACATGTAACATCCTTCATCAGGTATTTATTGTCATGTGCTGAAGCTCTGAAGTTCCTTTAATGATATAAACGTCTTGTTTATTTGATTGTAATGATTAAATTTAATATTTTCAATATCAGTATGAAGCTCCAAAGTTTTTAGATGATGATGATTGTTTATGAGAATGTAATTTTTGAATGTTTTATTTTCAGTATGCTTGTGAAGAGAACAACAAGGAGTTCTGGATATAAACCTGATTGTAAGTACAGGTAACTCTTGATGGCTCGAACTTCGAAGTTCTGGATCGCTTGAAGTGAATCTTCGGTCCCTGGGCAAATTTTCCCTTATATAACTAAGCAAATTTACTCTTCATTTCTCGAACTCTTGATCTCTCGAAACCCTTGATCCCCCAAATCAAAATGCAGTCCTGCTATGCATATTCTATTATAATTTACCCTCGATACCTCGAAGTGGCTTTGTGTATACAAGGTTATATAATTAGCACCTTTACCTGGACATTTAAAATGGCCCCAGGCAGAAGACGCGGGTCCCGAGGAACGGGAGGTTTATTCAGGTGAGACTATGCTGCAAGGTGATAATTGATTTATAATTAATTTTTTTTTTGCCTATATGCTATTAAAAAAAATTATCATCGACTGTCTTACGATAATTTAGAGACCCAGTGTCAGTGAAAAGTAGTAATTGATTAAAAGACGAAACACTAATTTAAGTTTTATTTCGAGTCAGTACGTGTCAAAGTTAAACGAAATATGAAAAAGCAGAAACAGCCTTAATGTCAATATGGCGACTATTATTGGACATACACTTACAGAACTGCGTTCAATGATCATGTTTGGAATAGTCAGTGCTATGTACAATGCTGTAAAAAGTCGTTTTCGTGTAACAAATGCGTAGTATGATGTCCGTATTACAAAACTAAATAATTATACATGAAATGATGATATACATTTTTTGCTTTACTCAGTTTAATGAAATATTCATCTAAATTACGAAAAAATATCATTGGTTTATAAAACCATGTGTAAAAGGTTATCACTGCATGAAAATCATTATATACGGTAAGACTAATTTTAAAAACTGTCAACAAACCTGGAAAATTCCGGACTCTTGAAAACTCGAACTCTTGATCTTTTGAAGTTTTTCCTTGGTCCCGCGGACTTCGAGGTATCGAGAGTTACCTGTACATGTCATGTGACTGGTTACCTGATGTCATGTGATCTGGTCATGTGCTTAATGTGGTTATAAACTTTTAATTATCAAACATCTTATCACTGTATCATTTTTGTTCAGATTAGTTACAATTTATTATAAGTCCACATAGTAACATATATAATATCATGTCTTTATATACATGTCTAAGCATATTTTTATATTTCCATAATGCTATTAAATATTGTTGCTTTGAAAAGTGCAGTCTAAATTTTAACATTTAAAGAATGCATTTAATAGCTACCAAAATGGGTTGGGACAGTTTACAGTTCATGAACTGTGAAGTGGTTTATAAAAAAGCATAAAATGCTCCAACCCAGTTTATACCATATAAATTGGGTACATATTAAATTCATTCCTAATTATGATCTAATTTTCTTTCGTTCATTGTAAGAAAAGACAACTAATGTCCCTAAAAAATGACTTCAAATTCTGCAAAATTTAAGTGTGACATCAGGGGGATCAATGTGTTTATGACGCATGTTGTGACTTTGGCAACACAGTTTATAAAATATATATAGGATCTCCTATGGTTTGTGGCTGGTTATGATTTTTTATCCAACAAATTGTGTGTTTTTATCCCGGAGCTTTGGCAAATGAAATCTTACATGAAATCCCTGATACATGTAGTTTCATTGTGGGGTATGTTTAAATTTCAGACACTGGGTTTGAAATCCCTGATATTTTCATCGTGGGGTATGCCTTAGACTACAACGAATACTTCAGAGATCTTAATGTAAGTAATGATATCCAGCTAACACAGTGATTCATTTAATGAAAGTATTATAGTTAATATTACAGTGAAATATGTCTACTCTGACATACACTGGGAGACATTTTGTGTTGGAATAGACAGGGTGTCAGATTGCACAGTGTAGCGAACATGGAAAATAGTAAAATAGGAATGAAAATAAAGGCTGGAATTGATTTACAATAAAAAAGATTACACAGGTGTCTGATTAGACAGTTTTCACTGTATAAAATCAACAGAATTATTATGACATGTATGTTTTAAGACAATTGAAATTGGAAGTATGCAACTGTTGCAGTCTCTTTCTTTGAATTTCAATAATTATCATTTTAAAGTACATGTTTAGGAACCTGACCTTAAACAGATGGATTTAATTTAAATTTACATGAATTAGTATTTTATGTTTTATTTCTTTAGAATTGATATGCATTTCTCTTTTTTATAGCATGTTTGTGAAATTAATGAGGCAGGCAAGAAGAAATATGCATCAAAATAACGACAACCTTATTGTGTTAATGATGATATTAGAGCCTGGGACCATAACCCACCTTAGAAGATATCAGCTCAAATAACAATGATTATATAGAGATTACATGCTGGATAAACAGTAATTTTCCGAGATTACAAAATGTTATAAGGTGAGAAAATCAGAATGAATTAGATTCTTTGCGATCAAACTGTTTACCGCTCTTGTTTTTCAGAAATTAGTTTTTTTTTTTGATATCTCACTATGTGAATTCAAATATTTATTCCCTCTTTAGTCAAAGAATACTTCTGTGTTTGTATGATTTGATATCTGTAATATCTATTTTTATAATAGGTATATTATATTTTTTTTTTCTGATTTTAAAAACGGAAGTTGGTTAAAAATATAAAAAAAATATTTTTAATAAAGTTCTCAAGCTTCCTTTTAAGATTTTTTTTCTTGTGGTATGTGTTTGACTAAACGTTGTTTCCGTTGGAAGAAAATGAGTCATGTATATGTTTAATAAAAATGAGAGAAATATTTGTTATGAAAGCAATTTTGTCTGATTTTGCAGCATAAGGTAGAATTGAGACCACTATGAAATCGTTTTTACTGACAAAATACAAACAGTGTCATTTGTTTTTATTTCAAATGTTTATGGTAATTTCAAAACAGAACAAAGAAAATCTTAATTGTACATTTTTACATCAAAATTTATGTAAGTTGACAAAGAAATTCTTGAAAGTACTAATAAATGCTGAAATATATGAATGATTACAAAACTGGAATTTTTTAAAGCAGAACTTTGAAGAAGTTGGAACATTTCTTGCAGATTATTATATTGACGGGGAAAAATTATAGTACAATAAAAGCAGAGGATATGTTAATAGTGGGAATTTAGAGGCGAAGAAATTAAGCTTAAATAAATCTCATTGCAGGTAGTTCATGTTCTGTATTATTTAAATTTAGACACATTCTGTTCTGTTTCCATTTGACTGTGTTGTACATGTTGTGACCAAAAATTTCCAGAACTGGTCTGTACATTGATTTTTACACAATATGAAAAAAAAATGTTCAGGAAAATCGGAAGTAATGTATTTCTAATAAATTGTTTAAGATTTACCAGATTGTATTGGCTTGTTTTCTATGAAAATAAATATTTTTTCTTTACACATTGTTGGGATTCAGAACTTCTTTAAAACAGAGAAATGTTCGGTTCATTATAAGTGATATTATCATCTGTATCAGTTTTAATGTGTGTGTATCATTCAATAACTGTAAAAAGAGATTTAAAAAAGAAAGGACAAGATAGGCTAAGACCCCTTTTTGGCCCCTGAATTGTGGTGTACGATTGTGGTGTACAATACAATAGGTCATCATCATAAGCCTGTTGTCATCCCTCTTACAAAATGAGTGTTGATTTTAAGTTATGGGGTACACGAAGGTCACAAAATATGTCAATTTCCGAATTTTCTCATTTTTATGCACATTTTTATCAATATTATAGCACATTTTGTTTCAGAAAACACAGAGCACAAGCTTGCCTATCTACCAAATTTATATATTTCACGCAGTAGTATTAGATGCTTCTTGTGTGTAAAAATCCCAGATAGGAAAGCTTGTGCTCTATGTTTCCCAAAGTGAAAAGTATCTCAATTTTAACAAAATTCCATCAGAATTGAGGAGTTCGGGAAAATGTCCAACTTTAGCACCCTCTTGTGGTCTCCCTGTACTCTTTGAATTATGATTATTGCTTGTTTTGAAACAAGCAACAATTCAAGTTCTTAAATGCGAACTATCACCATTTTAACTGTTTCTTGATTTTTTTTAAATAATTTTTTTACATAAAGTAAGGGGCCAACTTCAGCTGTTACCATACCTTGTCCTTTAACAGTTATATAGGATTGAATTCAGGAAGGATAAAATTGTATCTTCCAAATTATACTAAAGTGGGTCACATTGACCTACTTTTTGAATTTTAAATGTATTCATTTTCAGTTTGTTTAATACTTTGTCATTTAATGCAATTAACTTTACTTCGTACATCATAGTAAAATCAGGCGTATTTAGTTATAAAGCAACTATTTTCACATAATTTATCAAGTTAAACAAAAGAAAGGAATCCACAGGCTTCAAAGTCTATGAACTATTTTAAGGACCTATTTTTTTTTTTTTTATGATTTTTTAACTGATAGGTTGATTGACGTTGTCATAGTGTGTTTATGATGTTAAACTAAATTTCTCCAAGAGGGGTGCATAAAAATGTTATAAATAAAATAGTATATTTATTAAGATGTTGAAATTTTAAAGAAAGGAATTTGAAAATCTTACATTTAGTTTCTGATAATTTTTTTTTTCATAAATTTTCGTATATGTCGTATTTTGTAGTCCTTAAAAACAGGAAAATTTCGTTTTTTTGTTTTTTTTTTACATTTTGAGATGCCCCCTTTGGAAACCAGACAATGGAATTTTGTTTACTTACATATATTGTACAATACAGTAATACTCATCATAAATTTTATTTTGAGAAAAATGTCTATAATTGTAGTGTTTGTAAAATTTTCTTGATGGTCCCTAAAATACTCAGACGATAGATGTTCTTGAAACTTGGCATGTACACTGAAGTCAATGTAAGTTTCCTATGATATAAAATTTGAGATTTTTTTGTTGTAGTTTTCACACATACACACACAAAAAACCCAAATCGGATTCTTAAGACTTCAGGGTTTGGCATAAAATAGATCATAGTGACCTTCTTACTGAAGTTTATGGCTGTTCATGTTCAAAACATTTTAGCTAAATGTTTTTGATACCAAGATGTTTGGGGTCAACTAAATTTATCAGATTAGGCATTTCTTTCTGAATTTTACTGTTTATTATTTTTACATTTTAAAGTATTGTAACCTCTTTTATTTCAACTATGTGATCTGCTGGGTCAACCAAGCCTATTTAATTGATGCATCATGGAGTTTGGGATGTATCAATGCAAAAGAAGTCCACTATAGTATATGATACTTATGATAATAAAGATAAAATTTGATAAATATGTCACATTGATGCTGCGGATGTTAAAATTATTCAAGCAAGTCGATAGATGCGTGTTGTGGCCTTGGGGAAATAGTACCTGAAAGTAGGTCACAGTGACCAACTTTTAAATTTTTTGCAGCGTTTCTTTTTCACATTGTATAAAATGTTTCAACTAAACTTGCTACAGAAACATTCTATATATTAATTTTTATTGAAAAACTTTAAATGAAAAATGAAACATATTCATTTTACTTATTTTAAGGTCTCTTAGGTGCCTTTTTCATGATTTTTAAAAAAAATATATATATGTCAATGAATTCATCCATGACGTGAGAAAAAATATAAAATAAAAGAAATTCTTCCAATAATAAGCTTTTTAAAGGTACATGTAGCAGGCCACCATATAATTATTATAATAACAGGTAAAGATTCTTAAAATACTTGCCTTGTTTTGTCATCTGTGTCATTCATGACAATAGGGCTGTGTAACTGTTTTTGAAATCCGAGCATCGTGCGCAAATCTACGGAATGTCTTAGCTGCTGACTTCATATTATGTGCAGTGATGGAAAAGTTGGTAAGGGAAAGACGCACTTGCTTACTCGACCGTCAATATCAAAAGTAAAGATAGGTTTGATAATAACACACACATATACATCAACTAGTCTTCAATAATTATAATTTTATAGATGTTATATTTATTGCATGGACGGAAAATAGAATTATCCATCCATGCAATAAATATGAAGTCCATTATTTTTGCTTACAGAGAGAGAGAGAGAGAGAGAGAGAGAGAGAGAGAGAGAGAGCTGTAAATGCTGCTAAAGTGCATCACTCGTTTGAAAGTTATTTTTAAAGAGACTCGGACATTTCTTTAGCTACAGACTTCCTGTTGAATACTTAAGAAATAAAATATGGGGTTTCATGAATGTTGCAAGATCTACATGTATAACCTCTGAGAAAAAGAAGTATAGCTCTGAGGATTTTATTTTTTTTTTCAAGATTTCAAGACCCATGATATTTCCTTGCATCAACTGAGGCAATAAATACTTAACTTCTGTTAAGACTATAGTTCTCCTGCCTCGTTATACCAGTACATGTAGATGTTTGTGTTTTACTATGATTTTGACTTTGAGTACATACGCTGTTCTTTTTTTTTTTTTTTTTTTTTTTTTTTTTGATTAAAGTTTTGAGATTGGTTTCCAAAAAATTCTCAATAATATTTTGACCCCTTATTTTGTACTATCGTTACCGCTATGACCCTGATTTTAACAATTTTAAAGAGTACGATCCTTTGTTTTTGAAAAAAAAGGTCTTGTCACACTAGCTAAAACGGTTGAAAAGTCTTGGTGCTCTTAATCCAATGTTAAGACCGAAATCATTGCCACATAACCATTGCCTAGCAAAATGTCCAATTTTGAAGAATAATGAATCCAGGCTTTTTGACATTATTGACAGCTGCGTTTTCAATAAAAATGAAACTCGTCAGTTTACTATCTTGCCATTGGTCATTTGCAAAATTGTTTTGTTAAAACATTCTGATTTTAAGCACAAATACTCCGAAATTGGTATAAAAAAGATGCTTGAATTTATTACTAACAATATCTGTAGTTATTGGAGATCAAGTCTGTCTGAATGTCTGTAAGAACCACATACGCCCTGTTATTGGCAGACTTTTTTTTGTATTCAAATAAAGCAAAATTCATTCAAAAGCTTCTACATTAAAAGAAGAGTCTCTTGTATGGCACGCCGATTGCATCAAAATTATTTTCTGCACGAGCTTAAACAAAAATTACACGAGTAAGTAAAAACTTACACAAAGTGAGGAAAATACACACGAAATTATTGAAATTTACACACACACTATAGAAAAACTGCACAATTACCAAAATATTTACACAATATAGTGACAAAATTACACAAACGTAAAAACGAAAACTGCACGAGTGAGAATACAACATCAA